TAGAAGCAGCAGCTGCTGCCGCAGCAGTGACAAGGGCATCATCAACAATATCAGTAGGAGAAAAAGGATGCGAAGTAGGAGAGAGGATGGGTTGATAGGAGGATGGCAACTCAGGTGAAAAAGAACCAGAGGATGGGAGACAGATAAGCTGCAATTCACGGAGAAGAGGCAAGATACTAAAATAAAAAGGAAATGGAGCAGAGGCAAAGGCAGAGGCAAGGCAGCAAGAGCAAGAACAGGAGCATGAGAATGAAGGTCAATCATATTGTTCTTGACTCTTACGGGTACGGTTGTGGTGTTCAGGCGATGTTTTCTCTTATCGGCTCACCTTCCTCGCACAAAGATTTCAACTATGTCACTGAGTTTTTTCGAAACGGTTCTTTGCTGGACGAAAGGCGGATTCAAACATGGGACAAGACAATGCTGCCGGTACAGATCGGCTCAATTTGATACCTCGGTCTGATGCTATCTCGTCTTCCAACTCAGATGTTGCTGGGCACCACCGATCTCCTCGATCTGCGTGCAAAGCATGAAGAAGAAAGATTAGACGCGATGCATCTCCTGATTCACAGCCTTGCCAATGAGTCTCTGCTGACTGTGGGAGATGTTCACTTGTGCCAATCACAGCATTGACACTTCCACCCTCAGATGCCTAAAATAGATATGGATTCCTTCTCCTCTCACGACCCTCTCCTCTCCCTCCAAAGCGCCGTCGATGTCCAGGTTATTCCATGACGATCTTGTCTATGTATTCTCTGATGTGAGATGATGGGAAGGTTGAAGGAAAAGTCTATGCCATCGCACTCAAACCCATTGGGCTGATCTTTCGCGCTTTGCTCATTCTCCTAGCAACTCACAGGTCCAGCTTGTTGATTTGATATGCCTGAAGCAAACATGAGTTTTTCCTTCAAGATTGAACGGGGGGCAATTTCATTGTACATTCTGGCATTACCACACACTGAAGGCTTGCGTATTGTTGTGTTGTTTTGAACTTGATTTCGACAAGCTTCCAATCGCTGTTCCCAGGTTGACATTTGACACAATCAATGTTTAAATCATCTTGCTTCTTGCACCTCAAAACCTTTTTTCTGCTCTTCTCTCACTCTTGCCTTTCTTTTAGCTTTGCTACAGTCCAAGTTGTGCACCTCTTCCAGAATGTTGTCCATGAAGTACTTTACCTGGCTGAGCTTCTTGATATCGCACACCTATTTCCGGAACCAAGCAAAATATTCAGTGCAAGGTTGAATCATGATGTGTTCTGCAGGTGGTGGTTGTGGTTGTGGTTGTGGTGGTGGTGGATGAGATGATGAACATTGAAGATTGAAACTGTGTTGACCATCATACTTCAGACTGTTTCTACATCTTGTTTCTCAAGACCAGTCGAGCAGCGGATATCTTGACAGCCTGCTGAAGCAAATACAGCATGATGAGATTGATGTGTTTTTCGATGCCGTGTCAAACATCTTCAAAGAAGACTTCCAATTCTCCAACGATATCCACATGATTGAAACAGGTAACTTCATGATTTTATGTTCAGATAGATAGATACTGCATGTCAATATCTTTGTTTTCTTCTTCGTTATTTTGAACTTGTTGGATCAATCTTGTCTCAATTCTGACGATTCTGCCTCTAATGGACGAAATGATTTGAATTTCAAAACAGCAACTACCAACGACATCTTTGACGAAGACAGTCAGGAAGAAATGTACGACAGCAACACAACTCATCTCAATATGGAGCAGCAGCCTGCAGACACATCTCTTCCTATCTTGCAGTTCAAAGAAAAGATTCTTCAGGAGATCAACAGCAACACAGTCACATGCATCCAAGGAGAAACAGGATGTGGCAAGAGCTCGATGGTCCCTCAATTCATCCTCGATGATGCCAGGGCAAGACGACAGAGGGTCAACGTTATTGTATCACAACCACGAAGGCTTGCGGCTGTGGCGCTTGCGAGAAGGGTTGCGAGTCAAAACAACGAGAAGATTGGAAAAACTATTGGCTATCGTATTGGTCAAGGAGATCACGTTGTGTCCATGGAGACTCAGGTCACTTTCGTGACGATAGGATACTTGCTTCACAAGCTCTACCATAACCCTAAAACCTTCTTCAAGAGTTCCCATGTCGTCTTAGATGAGGTGCATGAACGAGGAATGGACTCTGATCTCCTGAACCTGCTGATCAAGAAGCTGATGGAGAACAGTAAGTCAAGCACAAAGCTGATCATCATGTCTGCAACCCTACAAGCCAACCTCTTCAGCCAGTTTTTCACCCCTGTTGGCGAGAAGGTCAGGGATACAATCTTCGTTGGAGCGAAGAGATACCACGTTGATGTTTATTTCCTGGACGAGTGGAAGAATTTTCACAGATCCTTTATGAATGACAAGAATCTCAATAATCTCTTGGGACAGTTCAAGATTCAAAACAAAGAAAATCAGGGAAACAAGCTGAAACCTGAGGTGAGAAAGATTGTGATGAAAGCTGCACCCTTTTCTTCCTTATCTCCTTATATTTGTTTTTGATGCAGTTGAACAAAGACTCCTGCACCCTCATAATCAATCTGCTTGCAAAGATTGTCAAGCCCGACATCTGCATTCTGGTCTTCCTTCCCGGCATCGGCGATATTGAATCCTTGCAGGAAGATATCAGAAGTAGCTCCTTGAGCTCCCCTCTCCAGATCCTCGTCCTACACTCGTTGGTCTCCCGCGAACAACAGGAAGCAGCGATTCTTCCAGCAACGGCTGGACACTGCAAGCTGATCCTCTCAACCAACATCGCTGAGAGCTCCATCACCATCCCCGATGTCCTCTACGTCATTGACTCATGCCTGAGCAAGTAGTCATATTGTCCCATATTATCTGATCATCATATTGATTCCTCTTTCCTCTTTCTCCTCCTCCTCCTCCACCACCTCCTCCTCATCATCATCATCATCATCGTCATCATCTTCCTCGTCATCGTCATCGTCATCGTCATCATCAAACGATCCATCATCAACGTCCCTGTTCTGCTGTTGCTGCTTTTCATGCTTCATGCTTTGCTGTAGTCTTGCGTATCCTGTTGTTCTGCTTTCCCTATCCTCAGTCTCAGTCATGGTCATACCCTTCTCCCTTTCATCAAATTTTTGTGTTCTTGCTCGTTCTACTCTTTACTCCTCCTCTCAGGGAAATCCACTTCGACGAGAAAAGGAACATGCCGGCACTGCTCGGGGCATGGTGCTCGCAGTCTTCTGCTAAGCAGCGACAGGGGAGAGCAGGAAGAGTTGCGCCCGGCTTCGTCTTCCATCTCGTTCCCCGGCACTTTCACGACAATGTCATGCTCCCGTTTGCAGAAGCAGAGATTTCTCGCCTTCCGCTCGAGAAAACCATCCTCAAGGTCAAGATCCTCCTCAAGAAGTTTGGCAGGCCTTCAGCTCTGCTTCAGCAGTCCCTTACTCCTCCTCCTCCAGCTCGCTTTGAGCTCGCAATCAAAGAGCTCTTCAAGGTTGGCGCTTTAATCCGCGAAGAAGAGACTTCACCTGTTACCCAGCTGGGAGTACTTGCCTCTGAACTCCCTGTTGATCTTGTGCTTGTTAAGCTGCTCGTGCTGGGCATAACCTGCTCCTGCCTCCCCGAAGCCATCGTGATGGCCTCTGCGCTCTCAGTCCAGGACATTTTTGCCATGCCCTCCTCTCTCTTTGTGAAGGACAAAGCATGCTTCCTCAAGGAGCTTGCTCGCAATTTTAGGAGTCGAGCTGAGCTGGACATGGGGAAGCTGTCCGAGCCGATCATGTACCTGGAGGCCTACAAGAGGTGGATAATCTCAAAGCGAGGCTCAAATGATGCCTCCAAGCTGGGGCTGAGCTTGACGAGGCTGAGGCAGATGGAAACTCTTGCGCTGGATCTTTGTCGGAGGTTCGAGGATCACTTTGCGCAACTGGAGGGGCTGAGGGACGACTCGCTCGACAAGCTCCACCTGCTGCGCGGCGCAATCATGTCGAGGAAGCGTTGTCAGCCGTCCACCCTGAGCTCCCTCTTTCAGGCAACGGATGATACTCTAAGGTTTGTCCTGGTGGGCAGCTGCTCGCAGTTGTTCATCAAGGGGTTGAAAATGGACAAGAAAAACTCTGAGATTGCCAGGTCAGGTTTTGACAACGAATGTTCTGTAATGCTCTACAAAGTTCCACCTGAGCTGAACAACAGCGATTGCATCGAATCCCTGCTGAAGGTGCTTGACATCAAGGTTGTCAACCATTGGAGTGTTGGGGTGAGCAATGCTGTCATACAGCTGAGCAACGACCAAGATCTCCTTTCTGCGCCATCCTCCTCTCAAAGCATCCCAGCTCAACTTGTACAGGACATGAGCTACGAAGTCAAGCTACTGTGGCAGGTTTACTTTGGCTCTCGCCGCAAGCTCGTGCTTCCCAACCCTCAGCAAGTGACGGCAACAAGGGAGTCGCAGACAGCCACCCTTGGAGGATTGAGCTCGGACTCGACGATCAGGTGGTTCCTGGAGAAGGAGAAAAAGGTGCTGGTGGAAGACGTCGATGTCGAGAAGGACAATAATGTCTTGAACAAGGCGGAGGAGAAGTTCCTTGTCCGGCCCAACTGGCGCTCTCCCCTGTCTGTGGTCGCCGATTTCAACAGAGAGCATGTAGAGCATAAAGCTGTGGCTATGTCCCTCTTGGGAACGATGAATGAGCAGAATGTGACAGCGACAGGGATGACCTTGCTTCCTAACAACCCCTTCGGAAAGTTGCTCCAGCTGGTGTTCAGCCCGAGGGCAGACAGGATGTCAATGATAGCCAGCAGCGACGGATCTCAGATGTTCTATTTCAAGATTGGGACAGGAACAATCGACCTCCTTCCGTACTTTATCACCACGGAAGATTTCGATGCGATCAACTGCATCCGACGATGCATCAGCAGAGCCATCCTGCGCCATCCGGAGAAAACAAGACAAGATATGAAAAAGCTGCTTGTATCCTTTCTCACTCACCAGCCTTCAAAATTCGAAGGAAAGAAGAAACCAAAATCTGCTGAATTCCATCTCACTATAGAAGAGACGCAGGAGTACCTTCCACAGCTCAAGAGGGGAAACAAAATCGACAAGCTAATTTCTACTGACGGGGATATCATCAAAGACAGCGGCCATGTGGGCCCTGGGAACGAGAAGGGGCAGGCCCAGCACCCCAACGAGGACGTCGACGCGCACGAGGACGCAGGAGCCGCACCATCACAAACTACAGATAAGAAGGAGGACACGGCTGACGTCGACGATGAGAGTATCGTCAAAGACAGCGGCCATGTGGGCCCTGGGAGCGAGAAGGGACAGGCCCAGCATCCGAACGAGGACGTCGACGCGAACAAGGACGCAGGAGCCGCACCATCGTGGACGAAGAAGCTCGCTGCATCGCTTGTTGAGGGGAAGGATGCGATCGTTAGGTTTTGCTGCAAGGAGGAAGGCACGAAGAAGTTAATGGTGGGCTGTAAACGTGAGCTTCTAAGACTCATCAGACAGGCTGGAGGGATGAGCACAGGGATCAGGGACAACAGCACTGGGGGAGAGGAAGAGAAGGCCCAGCACCCCGACGAGGACGTCGACGCGCACGAGGACGCAGGAGCCGCACCATCACAAACTACAGATAAGAAGGAGGACACGGCTGACGTCGACGATAACAGTATCGTCAAAGACAGCGGCCATGTGGGCCCTGGGAGCGAGGAAGGGCAGGCCCAGCACCCCGACGAGGACGTCGACGCGCACGAGGACGCAGGAGCCGCACCATCGCGGACGGCGGAGGAGACGGGGGAGTACCTTTCTCACGCCAAGGCCACGGCTGACGTCGACAGGACGGTATCTGCCGTCGACCTCGTGGTCAAGCTCCTGTGCGACGACAGCTTTGACCTACACGCCGACTCGCAGGAGCTGTCGATCCGCCGCGTCTCCTCTGTGTCCGCCGCCTCCTTCACCGTCCACGTGCTCTCCATAGGGCCTTGCTCGGGCTCGAGCATGAGCCTGTCAGACGCTGTGGAGCAGACGGTGAGGTGGTACACGCGAGCAGCAGGAAGGCGATCTACAAGAGTGCTGGAGTTTACGTCCCTGCAGACTAAGGAAGAAAAGAAGCTCGTTGCATCGCTTGTTGAGGGGAAGGCTGCGATTGATAGCTTTCGCTGCAAGGAGGAAGGCACATACAAGTTAATGGTGGGCCATAAACGTGAGCTTCTAAAACTCATCAGAAAGGCTGGAGGGATGAGCACATGGATCAGGGACAACAGCACTGGGGGCGAGAAGGGGCAGGCCCAGCACCCCGACGAGGACGTCGACGCGCACGAGGACGCAGGAGCCGCGCCATCGCGGACGGCGGAGGAGACAGGGGAGTGCCTTTCTCACTCCAAGGCCACGGCTGACGTCGACAGGACGGTATCTGCCGTCGACCTCGTGGTCAAGCTCCTGTGCGACGACAGCTTTGACCTACACGCCGACTCGCAGGAGCTGTCGATCCGCCGCGTCTCCTCTGTGTCCGCCGCCTCCTTCACCGTCCACGTGCTCTCCATAGGGCCTTGCTCGGGCTCGAGCATGAGCCTGTCAGACGCTGTGGAGCAGACGGTGAGGTGGTACACGCGAGCAGCAGGAGAGGGATCCAAGAGCGTGCTGGAGTTTACGTCCCTGCAGACTAAGCCAGAGAGGAGACGTGTGCGAAAGCACGGCAAGGGTATCGTGACAGTTGCTAGCTTTCGCTGCAAGGAGCAGGACTCGACGAAGATGATGATCGGGGTACAACCTGAGTTTGTGAAGCTGGTCAGGATAGCTGGAGGGATCAGCAGGTACGTCAATGTCCGTGTACTCAAGGGCGTCGAAAAGGAACCATTGAAGCGTACAGAGGACAAAACTCAGAACAAGCACCAATCCGCAGGAGCCGCGCCATCGCGGACGGCGGAGGAGACAGGGGAGTGCCTTTCTCACGCCAAGGCCACGGCTGACGTCGACAGGACGGTATCTGCCGTCGACCTCGTGGTCAAGCTCCTGTGCGACGACAGCTTTGACCTACACGCCGACTCGCAGGAGCTGTCGATCCGCCGCGTCTCCTCTGTGTCCGCCGCCTCCTTCACCGTCCACGTGCTCTCCATAGGGCCTTGCTCGGGCTCGAGCATGAGCCTGTCAGACGCTGTGGAGCAGACGGTGAGGTGGTACACGCGAGCAGCAGGAAGGCGATCTACAAGAGTGCTGGAGTTTACGTCCCTGCAGACTAAGGAAGAAAAGAAGCTCGTTGCATCGCTTGTTGAGGGGAAGGCTGCGATTGATAGCTTTCGCTGCAAGGAGGAAGGCACATACAAGTTAATGGTGGGCCATAAACGTGAGCTTCTAAGACTCATCAGAAAGGCTGGAGGGATGAGCACATGGATCAGGGACAACAGCACTGGGGGCGAGGAAGGGCAGGCCCAGCACCCCGACGAGGACGTCGACGCGCACGAGGACGCAGGAGCCGCGCCATCGCGGACGGCGGAGGAGACGGGGGAGTACCTTTCTCACGCCAAGGCCACGGCTGACGTCGACAGGACGGTATCTGCCGTCGACCTCGTGGTCAAGCTCCTGTGCGACGACAGCTTTGACCTACACGCCGACTCGCAGGAGCTGTCGATCCGCCGCGTCTCCTCTGTGTCCGCCGCCTCCTTCACCGTCCACGTGCTCTCCATAGGGCCTTGCTCGGGCTCGAGCATGAGCCTGTCAGACGCTGTGGAGCAGACGGTGAGGTGGTACACGCGAGCAGCAGGAGAGGGATCCAAGAGCGTGCTGGAGTTTACGTCCCTGCAGGCGACGAAGCAGAGGAACCTCGTCTATACGCACTGCATGGGGCGCGTTTGGATGCAGTACTACCGCTGCAAAGAGGAAGGCACGAAGACTATGATGATCGGCCCGACCCCCTCCTTTGTGACGCTGGTCAGGATAGCTGGAGGGATCAGCAGGTACGTCGCTGATGGTGGGCATGGGGGCCCTGGGAGCGAGGAAGGGCAGGCCCAGCACCCCGACGAGGACGTCGACGCGCACGAGGACGCAGAGCCGCACCATCGCGGACGGCGGAGAGACGGGGGAGTACCTTTCTCACGCCAAGGCCACGGCTGACGTCGACAGGACGGTATCTGCCGTCGACCTCGTGGTCAAGCTCCTGTGCGACGACAGCTTTGACCTACACGCCGACTCGCAGGAGCTATCGATCCGCCGCGTCTCCTCTGTGTCCGCCGCCTCCTTCACCGTCCACGTGCTCTCCATAGGGCCTTGCTCGGGCTCGAGCATGAGCCTGTCAGACGCTGTGGAGCAGACGGTGAGGTGGTACACGCGAGCAGCAGGAGAGGGATCCAAGAGCGTGCTGGAGTTTACGTCCCTGCAGGCGACGAAGCAGAGGAACCTCGTCTATACGCACTGCATGGGGCGCGTTTGGATGCAGTACTACCGCTGCAAAGAGGAAGGCACGAAGACTATGATGATCGGCCCGACCCCCTCCTTTGTGACGCTGGTCAGGATAGCTGGAGGGATCAGCAGGTACGTCGCGGACGGTGGGCATGGGGGCCCTGGGAGCGAGGAAGGGCAGGCCCAGCACCCCGACGAGGACGTCGACGCGCACGAGGACGCAGAGCCGCGCCATCGCGGACGGCGGAGGAGACGGGGGAGTACCTTTCTCA